TACATATATATATATATATATATATATATATATACACACATATAAATTTTTCTCTGTAGTGAGCACTGACTGACTGATATAGGATCCTATCAGGAAATAGGGCATAATCAGTACAACTCAGGTCTCTGATGTAAGTCATAGTCCATGGCCCTGAAGTTCACCTTCACTTCATTACCAAGCTTCACTAAGGGTCTGGGTAAAAATAGAACACACACTCTTAGAGATCAAAGCACACCCAGGACTTTCCAGGGGAGAGAGAGACAAATGGCCGTGGCACGAACTCAGCTTTGATGATCACTACTCAACATAAACAGCATGCACAGAATAAAAGCATGACAATGAGACACGATCGCCTGATACCTGTGCTGCGACGGGACATGGACAAAGGTGCTCTCCAACCACACAGTGATGAAGCATCCTCCTGCCTGACCAACGGTAGTTATTACTGCCTGAGTACGAATGACAACTAACCCCACTTTAATCTTTCTAACACCTGGATAAAAGCTACCTAGATAGCCAATCTCTTAATTGTCCCCATTTATTAAAACCTCCTTATATCCATGGAGCACAAGCCCAAAGCCTCTAGGAAGTCCTCCCAACTGCTTGTTGCCAGGAAGAACATCCACAGTTCCTGTGTGTGCAAACTTCCCTTGCTGTAGCGAGCAAAATGAACCTGATTTGCTTGACCACAGGTTTATTTCCTGTGGTTCTTTGTGGTGGGTTTCAACACAGCACTGTCCTAAGATTAATAATCTGCTCCAGCGTCAAACCATACATCTCAATTTTTGCTATGGAAATTGATCACCATAACTATGCTGCTCAATTTGAAAAAAAAAAAATCTCAATTAGAAATTACTGGCAGTGCACATATCTTTTTTTTCCCTTCCTCCTTTTCTCTTCTCCCCCACCCCACTTGTTCTTTCCTTTTGAGCAGTTTCTTTCTCTTTCACTATATCTATTATACCTTTTGGATCTTATTTACTCTTTCAGTTTCTTACACTCGGGAGACAATACGATGCTTGCACATGTGAGTCTGGTTTCTTTCACTTAGGAGTATGGTCTCTAATTGCATCCACTTACCTATAAAAGCCTCGAGTTTATCTTTCTTTATAGCTGAGTAGTACTCCATTGTATAAAAATACCACATCTTTTTTATCCATTCCCTGGTTGATGGACACCTGGTAATCTGAGCAACTACTCTGAAGATAACAATATGCAATATAATAACCATTGTTAATTTCATATCATCTTGTTTTGAAATTCTGTATCTTTTGATTGGGTTTTTTGACTCTTTAAATAAAAAAAATTACTGTCAATAGTGATTATGGCCACCAGCCATCTAACTGTGTGACTCCTTAAACCACCCTACACACATTACTTTGAGTCCCTGAATACAAACAGAACCAGAATGGTGGTAGCAGCAGTGGAGAGAATGGCTATGGATAGCACAGCTAGCCGCAGTAGAGTCTTGTTTTTCTTAGAGTTTTATTACAACACAAAATAAAATATTCACTATAACCTAATATATGTCATTTTCAATACATATATTTCCCAATTTTAGAAATAATCATTTGTAACTGAAAAAACAAGTCATTATTATAAAATCTATGTATACATAGATCTAAAACTAAAATGTCACCTTACAAACCCAGTTAAAGCAAAAATCAAATCAATACGTGCAATAAAAATTATAATAATGAGAGTACACAGTAAACACTATATGCCTGGGTTTCGGTCATTTTACATAACTTACTTCATTTTGCCTATGCATCCACCTTTCCAGGAAATGTCCATTTTACAGATGAGGAAACAGAGGTTCAAAGATGATAACTCATTAGCCCAGGACAGAACTACAAGAGGCAAAATTGAGCTTCAAGACTCAGATGTCTGTAATTCCAAACTCTAAGATTACCGGGTAGATTGTTTCTCTTATACAGGAGAATAAAATAAACTGTCCTTGGAGGAATTATAAGATTTGATCGCAGGGAAAGCAGTTTAAAACAAAACAAAATCCTAGAGTGCCACTTTAAGTGTCTTAGAGTATTAGAATTTCCTTTTGCCACATCAAATTTCTTCATCTTCTACTTATAGGCAAAACCCTCCAAAGAAAAAGCCATTGCTGCAGCCTGGATGCTGAATGTCCGCCAAGGTCCACGTGTTAAAGACTCGGTCCCGAAAGGCACACTATTGGGAGGTACAGGGAAGGCTTTGGGGAGAAAGGCTGGTGAGTCAGCCTCGGTCACTGCGGGCGTGTGTTCAAGGGAACTGTAGGAACCTGGTCTCTTCCTCTCCCTCTCTTTGCTTCCTGGCCCATGACAGGAGCATTCTGCTCTGCCATGATCTGCCCAAGTCATTGGGACCACCTGATCTTGGACTGGAATCTTCAAAACCATACACCATATACACATTTTCTCTCTATAAGCTAAATGCTTCAGGTATTCTGTGGTAGTAACATAGCGTTAACTAAGATTAATCTTGCACAAACTAATGTAGAGTTTTCTATCAACATATACACTTGAAAAACAAGTTAGTATATAAATCACCGGAACACACTCTCCACATTTTTTTTTAAAATCTCTGAATTACTCTCTAAAGAATGAAATAATGCATTGCTAGTAAGGCATGTGTGAAGGGAATTTCAATGGGAAAGCATTATCTCCCCTCCCCAATAAATGAAACAAAAAGGACCTTTCAAAGACACTTCCACTAACAGTTCTTTTCTGAATAAAATAAATAAGAGCAAAGGGCACCTTGACTACTACTTAAGAAATAAAACCAGAACACAGGAAATCTGTAATTCTAAACACATTTACACCTTCTTTCCTTTTTTACATTTCTCATCCAAACATCCTTAGAGCTCAATAGGCTTAAAAGAATTGGAGCAGTGTAGAGAACAAAGGTGAGGGAAATCTGAGAAACAGTTTAAATGGCTGTTCTCACCCTATAGTAATTTCAAACTGAGTAACATGTTTTTCAGAAGATATAAAAGTCGTAAGTGTAGGAAGTAACTGTAAAAAGTTATTCTACCTTCTCATATTAGAAATATGGCATTTTGGCTGGACATCTCATGAACTCACTACTGTGGACAAAAATGTGAAAAGAAAAAAAGAAAAAAACAGAACACTGAAAATATACTTCCAAGAAAAACAAATATCAAATTGGTGCCCTAGCTTTAGTCATTGAAAGCCTGCGTGCTAAGCACAGTTATTAAAAGAATAGTCATCTTTCACCCTCATGTGGAAATGACTACGTCTGTTTTAATCATGTTCTCCCTTGAGACAGAGTATAATTTTAGGAAAGATATCCAACTACGACTATATTCAAGCACATTAAATGTTATAGATTACACATAAATACAGAAATTAAGAAAAACATTTATTAAAAATATGATATGTATATTTTACTTAATTTAAGAAAGTTTTTTTAAGCTGGGAAGAGGAAAGAGATGTTTAAAGAAGGAGTTTAATATTTTGTTGAATTATTCAAATGAATGACCAACAATACAGAAACAAGAAAAATCAGAACTTTATCAAATTCATATAAGTGCGTTTTCCTGCATGAGTCTGGATCAGGATAACACTTCCATATGACTTTTTCTTAATTAAAATAGCCAAGGCATTTAACACTCCTTCTCAGCAGCTCCAGCGATGTCTCTACGAGTGCACGCACTGTACTTACTCCATCAGCGTAAGCCACAGACTTAAAAAGGGCTACCAACGGGAAACCACCCAGAATAACTTAGAAAAGAAGAGTCTTGCCATCCTGGCACTTTATGTCCTATGTATCAGTGCAAATAACGACAACCACTTCCTTCTCTGTAGGGCTGAGCTTCAGTTTGACTGTACAATACATCTTGATAAAATGTTATCTCAGTGATTAATACTCTGGGAAGCTCTTCTTCAAAGTAAATGACATACACATTTCTAGAAATGCAATACCTTCCAGCCAGTGTGCTGTAGTAATTGGGTAGCAGAAATACAGAGATAGGAGCAGGGATTGAAACGAGGGTCTTTCTGGAGAGGGAGCAACATTCACTGAACATCTCAGCCGAAACTATGGCATTTGGGAAGCAAAATCTAATAATTCAAATGAGGACCGCACAGCTCAACCTCCTCACCATACACACACGCAAACACACACACGCAAACACACCACACACTTTTATTTACCAGCAGCCAAGTGAGACGTATTTCTTAATGAAAACAATCCACTGAAAAAATATGTATGCTATTTACAAGAGGATATTTTGTTTGAGGAGGCAAGAATATCAACTGTGCCGTTTCAAGGAGGAGTTAAAGGCATCTAGTAATGCCTATTAGGTATTCAAATAAATAGTTCTGTGTTTAAAATGGGTCACGTAAACTCAGATGGATTCAGTGTTCCCAAATAACCAGGTTTTCTTCCTAGGATGACAAGAACTGAGTTCACAGCCAGAAAAGCAGGCAAGCAAAGGTGCTACAGCTGGGTAGTGCTCAGAGCCGGACCCCTCACCTTGGAAACTCGGGCAGTGGATGGATTTTAGGCTCAAGCACCTTTCATAAATTCTTTGTCCAACCAAGTAATCTCACGGCATTCATTTCTGTGTTTCCTTCACAGTCCAGCTAAGAGGTGCATTGCTCCAGTGACATCTGACTTAGCTCCTGGCACCTGCTATTGCATTGGACAACTAAAACCTCTTGCAAATAGAGCAAGCCCCCGGGCACTCCTGTCAGTAGGCACAAACGTGCGCGGTGAGAATGAGATCAGGAGGTGAAGACGCAGTCAAAATGTGCTCACAAGAGGCACGATCTGCACCGGGCACCCTAACACTACTCGCCCCCTTTGAGCCTGGTATACCTCACCCGTGTTACTTGGTATCCCGATACGTTAAGTTGGGTTGCCCGTAGCCCTAACACCTTTCAGATCTGAAACTACCCCGCAGTTCTGGGAGACACACTGGGAAGTCCGGATTCCTACAAGGGAGACCTGGTGCCAAGGTGCGCAGGGGCCCCGAACAGTGGCGTCTCGAGTGCACAGGATCCGGATCTCGGTTTCAGAAAGACAGCGGGGTGTCCTTGCTAGAGCCCGGGTCTCCCGCAAAGGAGCGAAAGGAAGGTTCGTGTTCTTACAGTCAACTTGGGACGGCCAAGCCAACTCCTTTCAGTCCGTGAGAAACCCCCTCTCCCACCAGAAACGCGGCGGGCCAGCCGTCCCCAGACGCCCGCGCTCCCAGCTCCTTCCAGCGCAGCCTGGAGACCGGGAGCCCGCGCCACAGCTCCGGAGCTGGGCGCGGCGGGGGTCCCCAGCGGCACCCCGAGCCCCCGGGGGCCTCCTCGGGATTCGGCCGGCGAGGCCAGCGTGCCCGAAAGGTCATCTCCCTCCGAGCGCCACCTCCGGGCGCCCGGGAGCGCAGGGCGGGCGCTCCGGGGACCCCAGCCCGCGCCTTACCTGCCCGCGGCGCGTCCGGCAGCCCCCTGAGCGCTCCCGCGAGCCGCCCCTGGAAAAGTTTGCGAACTTCTTCGCAGCTCTGCACGCCCTCGCTCCGGGCGGACCCCAGGACCGCCGCGAGGAAGAGCCAGCGCCAGCCCGCGCGCCAGGTCCGCGCGCCCATGGCGTCCGGTGCGACCCGCGCCGCGCGGCGACGGCTCCCCGAGGTCCCGACGCGGGGCCCCTCGAGTTTCCAGGCGGAGCCCTGCCAGCTGCCGCTCCCTGGCCGAGGCGAGAAGAAGCCGCGCGGGAGCAAGAAAGTGCGAGACCTGCAGACAGCGAGCCGCGAGCGTCCCACCCCGGCCGCTGCCGCCGCAGCCGTCGCCAACCTGCGATGCGCCGCCGCCG